GCTGAGTGGTTGATTGATTGATTGATTGCATGCATGTTGTGTTGTGTTATACATTCAGGTCTCACTTACTGAACACAATGCATTCCCTGTAAATTGTTCGTTAGGTGAGCATTTGCAAAACAAGTCCATAATTTCCATTATTTCTTATGGAAGTAATTCTAAAGTGGAATTTGTCCACTCTCTTCCCCCACTCTCTTCATGGTTTCTTCCTGAAATGACTGCAGCCAATAAGCAAAGGAGAGACAAAGGAAAAATGGATTTGTCTGATCTTTTACTGCTCCTTGATTTGTCTGATCTCACTCCCCCCCCCATTTTCTCCGTGGTTTCTGCCCGAAAATGGCTGCCACCAACCAGCAAAGCATAAAAAAAACAAGGAAGTAAGAAAGTTGGCTGTTCAGATGAGTGAATCTGTGGAGCATATAGCAAGGTCTGTGGGTATCAGGACCTGCATGTGATATACTGCCTTATGGTGCTCTCCGATTTTATCTATTTTTATATTGTGCTTATGTATATGGTTATTGTTTACTTATTTTATTATAGAAGTCATTGACATGGCTTTATTGTCCTTTTTGTGTATATATGTGTGTGTGCTTACGTGTTTATCTATTGTAAACCACTTCAATATCCTTCAGATAGTAAGAGGTCTATAAATGGAGGAAAGAATAAGAAGTAAGAATAAACCAAAATAAAAGAATTCCTTCCAGTAGCACCTTAGAGACCAACTAAGTTTGTCATTGGTAGGAGCTTTCGTGTGCATGCACACTTCTTCAGATACCTAGAATAAACCATCTGTCAATTTTATTTGGATTCAAACCAAAATGTTGCAGTGTACATGCACCTCTCTCCAGAGTGCTCTTGTTCAGTTCTCAAAGCAGCCAGGAAGAGAAGTCTTGTAGTGGTTCTTGGGCTTTGAAAGAAATGGGAACCTCTTCCCCTACTTCCCATTGCACTAGATACTGTTAAAAGGTTCAGAATTTGGGCTGCCTGCCAGCTCTGAATCTCAATGTTTTGTTTCTGTGGGCAAGGATGAAAAATGGTATGGGGGACTTTTTTAAAAAAAAAACCCCACATCGTGCTCATTCCTCATTTCTCATACTATGGATTCTATGGGTTCACAGCATATCATGAATCCAGGATACTGTGGGTTTGATCCAGACTTGGCTTCCACGGGCAGAGTGGGGAAGGCTCCTCTTTCTGATTCCTCCTTCCTGCAACACCCAGCAATACCTCTCACATTCTTCTAGAGGGTTGGGAGGGTCCTCTAGAAAAGTGTGGGGTTACAGGAGGAGAGGGGAAATCCATTAACTTGATTAAAGGTCATCTGTGCATGAAATGAACCTCTCTGTGGAAGGAAAAGTCTGGATCCAGTCCTAAGTGCACTTAGTTGCTTCTCCCATTGTCCATTTTTTATACTGACAACTTCTAATATTCCATGGTTTGACTTTCTTCTGCTATAGACTTTCTGTCCGGAGCTGGCAGCATCTCTGTGGTAGAAATTTGTGCTTCATTTTCTTCTTCTAACAGTCCATTTATACCATTCTACCAAGAGCTCAATTGTGACTAAGGAAATTGCTGAGGAAATGTATTTCTGACTCTTTTCAAAATATTTCGGTTATGCATTGTTCCCTTGCTGTGTTCTTTCATTTCCCTCATGTTGGCACTAAAATACTCATAACAATGTTCACAAAAACTCTTCAGAGTGTTCTTTGCAGCACTGGGAACATCACAAATGTAACAAGCCAACCTATGGTAATTAAAGCTTCCCTCCACCCTGCCGTGGGCTCAAGGTTTTCTGTGCATAGAATCTGGTACTTTTAAAAAAAGCAACCTTTATTGAAGAGGTGGGGGAGACACCAAGAAAGTTCAGTAGTGAAATATGAGATGTGATAGCCCTTAGTGCATCAAAGCAAACTGTTATAATATTTTTGGCGCTCAGGGTAGCAGTTATTCAATTATAAGAATAAATAATAATAATAAGAATAAGAATAAGAATAAAAGAATAAGAATTTATTTGTGCCCTGCCCAACTGGCTAGGTTTCCCCAGCCACTCTGGGCAGCTTCCAACAAAGATTAAAAATACATTAAAATGTCGCTATTGTAAGTGCATGGATAGCAAATGCAGTAATTTAAATTATATGGTGGCTATATATCAGCTAACACATCTGTAAACAGGAATCTCCTTAGTTAGCATGGACCTTTTAAAATCCAGTGTCCCCCAATCTTCAGTTAACACCAGCCCTGTTATGTTTTTAGACAGTAGTTTTATGTGTGTGTGATTGTAACACTTGTGATATTGCTAACTGGAAAGAGAGAAAGCAATAGACTTGATGGGAGCAATGATAGTATAGTGCAAGGAAAGGAGTGTGCCGTGAATCTACTGGGGTTGAGAATATTCAGTGGGACGCATGGAGAAACCCCCTTCAGAGCTTCTTCCTTAACATACAGGGTCTGAAACAAGTCAGTGGGCTGATGTACATTGCTTGCTTGTGAGCACTAATCAGAGCATAAACAGAGAGGGTAGCACTGTTTCCAGAGATCTTGGATATGCTGAAAGGGATATGCTGAAACAGCACATTTGCTTTCCTATGAATGTCCTTGAATTTGCCCTGTCCTGACCACAGTTGGGCACCCTGTGAGGTATGCCTGAGTGTTTCAGGTTGATATTTGAGAAGGGGTCAGGCTGGAATTGCAGGACCTTGGACAGCTCCAAGCATAGAACTTGATGGAGAATCTCAAAAGGGTGTAGTCCTTTGACCTAGAGCCTTGTCTTCTGTTATCTCTTAGTCTGTATTCATGAGTGTGGAGGCCATAGTGTAAAGGAGTCTCATTCCTCAGAGTAATCTGGCTCAGAGGGTATTATATCTGAGTGTCCGACTTGTGGGATTTGGCTCAAAGGGACTGCTGGTCTTTCTGATCCAACTTGTGGCAGTGCCTTGCTATGACTTATCTGCAAAACATTTTGAGGACAAAATTGCTATCATCCACCAGAACTTCAACTCCATTAGTACAACAGATGAATTTCAAAAGGCACCCACAGCACTGTCTATGTCTGCAGTGTTGGATGAGTTTCAGTTAGTAAGGCTTTAGGACATGGACAAGGACATTGGTTCTGTTCGGTTGCACTCTTTACTCTCATGGATGATAAAAACTATCAAGGAAGGGACAGCTCTCTGGGCTAGAAGGTGATTAATGCTTCCTGTCTAGAAACTCCTTAAGATCTGGATCTGGAAAATCTAAATACTTATTAATCAGTTGCTAAAGTTTCCTTCTTGGGCAAGGTTCTTGAAGATAGAGTTGTGGGCTAGTTCCAGGCTCTCTTGGATGAAAACTGATTTTCTAGATCCACTTCATTCAGGGATTACAACTGGTTTTGCCACAGGAACTGGCTTGGTCCCCTGTATGATGACCTTTGTCTGGAGAAAGGAACAGGGGCGTGTGTGACTGGCTTTCAATACTATGGTATTGTTCTGGAGTGGCTTCCCATATTGGGAGTGGGAAAGCAGTGGCTCCTTTCCTTAGTTGACCATCTTCAGTGGGTGGTGCTTGAGGAATGTTACCCGGCTTCATGGATCCTTCAATGTGGGGTGCCGTAGAGTTCAAGTTTATCTTGTATGGTGTTTAACATGTATTTGAGGCCTTCTCTGTGGTAGCTCCTCATCTATCGAATACTTTTTCCAAGGAGGCATGCCTGGCACCATCACTATCTGCTTTTAGGTGCCAAGCAAAAACATTCATGTTCTCCAAGGCTTTGGGATCTTAATAGCCTACTTATATTTTAGAATGTAATCTGCTTTTTTTATTTTAGGATGTTTTAGGCTTGTTATTAGACTTGTTTTCAAATACTTTTTGTAAGTTGCTTTGAGTTCTTTTCTCTGAAAAAACAAAAACAAAATAGAAATATGTATAATACAATACAGTATAACATACGACTGTATGCTATAGTAACCATCCTGTTTATGTGAATGTAGATAATAGATTAACAAGCACACGGGCTATAGCCATAAAGAATGCAGGAGTGCAGTTTATTTCATGTTTGTACCAATCTAGAATTATCGAATTGTGGAAGAAAGCTTCCTAGTTGAACATGATCTCTATTATGTTTGTTTCACCAAATTTGATTTGTTTTGATTGTGTTAAAACTGAAACAAGCAAAAGAGCTTCTTTAAGACCAGACAGATCAGTTAGGACTCAATCCTATATACACATGCTTTGGAGAAAGTCCTGTCAAGTTCAGTGAGATTGGCTTACTAGGCATGCAGGTAGTATGTGAGAACATACTATTTATGATTATTATTATTATTCTATTATTTTAGTAGGCAATGAACAAAATACAGCACATTTGCTATCAACAAGTATATTGAAAAGTGTTTCTATCCATACAAATCCATGGTATTACTTTTCTTTATGATTATTTGGATCCAAATATTCAAAAATCTTAAGGTGCAAGCCATGTAAGTCAATATCACAAAGATAAACCTACTAGATCAGTTGGTAGATAAAGAGGTACTTATTCTCAGGGTTGTGGGTTCATGTCCCACATTGGACAAAAGAATTCCTGCATTGCAGGGGGTTGGACTAGATGACCCTTGGGTCCCCCCAACTCTACAATTCTATGATTCCATGAACTTCTAAGTAGTTCTACTGACCCCAGCAGGATTACTCTGGGGTAAATCTACAAGACTGTCAACCTCCTAAGTTCAACAGCTGTATTCAGAGAAAGCTACAGGAATGGGGTGTTCTTGCTTTGAGCTGCCATGAAATGCATTTGAAAATAAGATTGTTTATGGAATGAGATGGGACTGTCTGGCTCACAGGAGCCAGCTGACAGCTTCCCATCATTTGCTACATGCTGTGCATAATCAACATTTGGCTTAACTTTCCAAGAATGATAAAATTTCATATACTGCTGCATGACATGTGAATTATTATTATTTTTTACATATATTCATACCACCAACTTTCCTGTAAGTTAATCTCATCTCTCATCAATTTTTCACCAGCTTCACTCTGATGTTGATAAAGGAGATGGCTCCATCAAATACATCTTGTCAGGAGAAGGGGCAAGTTCCATTTTCATTATTGATGAGAACACGGGGGATATTCATGCTACAAAGAGGCTTGATCGGGAGGAACAAGCCTACTACACCCTCCGAGCACAAGCACTAGATAGACTGACAAGTAAACCCGTGGAACCAGAGTCAGAATTCGTCATTAAGATTCAGGACATCAATGACAATGAACCTAAATTTCTGGATGGCCCTTACACTGCTGGCGTGCCTGAAATGTCTCCTGTGGGTAAGTACTTACAGTTGAAAATCAATTCTTGTTTTTCTTCCCTTTTCATTATTTGCTTTTTCAATATTTTCTTTCTTCCTATTGTTTATTGCTTTATCACACTACTGTGTTGTCTGTGACATACTTTTCTTGAGTAAAAGCCAAGTTTGAACCCATCCCTGAAATCTGCTAATTCATGACATGCAACACTTAAAGGTTCTAGATGAATATTTCAAGAATAAGGGAGGGAGCGTATCTGTGAAACTATTTTCCGAAACAGATAAAAGGTATAATACATTCAATTGGCAACCGAAATAATCAGGTGACTGAAGAAACTGAAATATGGTTTTGTAGAACTGGAACAGGTTTCAGTGATTGGGGCTATTTAGTTTAGAAACAATAAACTATGTGAGGGATGGGACAGGATGGACGTGTATGAAATCAAGCATGTTGTGTAGAAAATGCACATTTAAATGTTTTTCTTCCATTTATAACGCTAGAATGAGGAGTCATCCAATCACTGAATGTTGAACTATTCAGAATAAACAAAAGGAAGTGCTGCATGATACAGTGCTCTTAAACTATGGAATTCTCTTTCATAAGAGGTAGTGATGGCCACCGAAGGAGATTAGGCAAATTCAAATTCAGAGAGGATGGGATAGGACTAAACTAGTAGTGATGGCTATATGCCACCTTCAGGATCAGTGGTAGCATTCCTTTGTACAGTATACCAGTCAGTGGAAAACAACAACAGAAGGGGGCTGTTGCCTTTATGTCTGGGCTTACTCACAGGCAACTGGTTGGCCTTCGTGAGAAACTGGATACTGAGCAAGGGAGATATTAGTTCTGAACCATATGTACCATATGTTCTTAAGGGACTTCTTTGAAGATTAATTTGAAGTGCTTAAAAAACATTAATTTGATGTTGCACCCTAAGTGGTCCTTCAATGTCCTCAGCAGGAGAAGTCCCTAGGTACCAATCCATGATTGTCCACACCTCTCTCCTTCCCTTTAAAGAAGCAAATAAAACAGCCCTGTTGAAGTGTAGTAATTCGGTATTGTCACTGATTGCTAAATATTGAAAGAGTTAGTCATGATTAATAACATTGTTGTCAGTCAAGATGAGCTTGGGTTTTTAGGTACTACTTGTGTATTTGGCTATTGTTCCTTCTCAGGAATAGGAAGAAGATATCATCAGTTTCTGATAAGTATTCCCTGTTCAGTCTCAACAGACTATTATATGGGTGTTTCATTTTTTCCCTTGTACAGTAACTGGAGTCTATCTTGTCTTTTCTCCAATGAGTTTGATATACACTCTCTCACACACAGTTCTAAATGTGTTAGTTCTCTTACTGAATTGTGCTGGTTATAGAAACATAATTTCTTTTACCTTAATAACCTTAAGATACCATTCCCCCCCCCCCGGATCAGGTCACTTTAGAAAGGCATTCATCTCTAGAGTTTGGGCAGGTATTCTACCTGCTACTAATTAAGCTAGTCTCTACACAAGAGGCAGTCAACCTTTTTATACCTACCACCCACTAATTTTCTTGATGGTAAAATTTCCTTACCACTCACCAGTGCTGCAGTAACATGTAGCGTAGAACCCCCTACTGCCCACCTGGAATCCTGAAATGCCCACTAGTGGGCAGTAGGGACCAGGGTGACCACCCCTGCTCTATACAGTAGCTATCAGTGTGTTCAACTGTAGCTTGAAATAACAATATGTGGGCTGTTCTGTGTCAATATTTTCTTTGCGGTCTATACTGCTCTAACTGCCTCCCTTTTTGCTTCAAGATAGTGGTGGCTTTTGGTAACATGGTTAAAAATGTCTGGAATGATGGGAATTCTTCTGCTGTAAATTGAGTTGCATTGTCAGTCATGAGTTCATGTGGCAGGCCCAAGTCAACAAAGGTATTGCTCAGCTGTGCAACAGGCCTATAGCATGCAATAGTAGGCAAATGAGTATATTGATACCCCTAGAATAGTAGCCCACAATAACCAGATAATATCACCTTCCCAGTGCACACAGGTCAGTTGTGAGCACCAAATGCATAAAAGTCCATTGCTTTGTGTTGATCAAGTCCTTTAGCAGTCACAGGGTAGAGTTTTGTTATTTATGTCATATCAAATTCCAGTCTACCATACTGTATTCTTGGCCCCTTTACAAGATTTGGTTAGACCCTGATATCCTTGTTGGATAAGGTCTAGGAACTTCTTCTTGTATATCATGGTGCAACAATATAGGTTTTTTTTTTTTTGCTTTTGCTTACTTGTTTGTTTGTTTTGCTCTTAGGCCTTTCGATTCACTCAGTTGCATACAGACAGAAGAGTACTTCCTAGCATACTCTTCAGATCATTTCTCTTCAGATTGTATAAATCTTTCCCCTTTTTGAAGAGTACTTCCTAGTAATCTCTGAGGTATTGCTAAGGTATTCAGGTCCTCCTGATCTAATATCGTGTAGGATTTATCCATGAGTAGATGTCTACATCTGACAAGCCTCTTTTAGAATGCTGATAGAGAAGTACACATAGCATGTGCCTTGTCTACTCTCTTTCACTTGCAAGTCCCTGTTTGCACTGTGGGCTTCATAATAATGCATCTGCTATAGATGCCTGTTTTTGTCTTCTAACGTACTTGTCTACTGAATTGAATCTCATCATTGTTAGTAGAAGATGCTGGCCTAGTAATGTACTTGAACCAAACATTTTTCTTAAATCAAGGTCACCAAGGGTTTATAGTCTGTGAAGAGTCTGAAAGAAAGTAGATCACATAGGCATCTATAAAAGCTTTACAGTGCCCAAACACTAGCGAAACATTCTCTCTTTTCACCCTTTCAAATTTGTGCATAGCATTTTTCTGCTTCAGTAAGAGGTTAGGTAAGCAGTCTGGAACAGAATGCAGTGAGCTTGCATTCTGAACTAGGCAGATGCGGTGGCATCACACCTTATTCAAAACTCCTTGCAACAACAACAACAACATGAACTTGTTGGCATCACAAAAAGTATAAGATTGGCTATCAGAAGTTGTGTGCCCTTTATATTTGTAAAGGTAGCCTCCTGAACTATCTCCCAAGCCTGGTCATTGTGGATTTCAGTAACAGGTTTAGTGGCTGTGCCTCTTTGAAGACATCTTTCGAATATTTATTGATTTTAGTTAGAAGAATTTGTAAAGCACTCAGTCGAAGAGTCCCTATGTGGTGAACCTAAAGCAACTGCAAATAAAACCAGTAATGTTTAGAAACAGCTATATGTAACTTGTTAACATGTCCAGGTAAGCTTGATGAATTTTTTTTTTTAAAGCCGTTGCCTTAAGCAGGACAATGAAGATGTTCAGCAGTGTCAGAAAGCATCTTGGTTCTGTAATGTTAGTCAGTGCTTACAACTCTCTGGACAAAGTCCTTCTCTAGGCCTGTCCTTGTCCCATATTGTGTGATTACTTGACCCAAGAACTGCATTTCAACTTTGCATCAATTAGTTTGGTCCAGATTCAAGGAGACTGTTCCATAAGATGACCAGAATTTTGTCATAGTCTTCCATTGATGTATTAGGATGTGTATTAGGATCTTGTCCACTAATACCACAGCTCCTTTTGTGATTCTAAGGAGCCTTGTCATCTTTCTTTGAAAAATCCTGGGAGCACTTTTGCTCCTGTCACTTTGGGGAAAAGGTCATCTAGCATTGGGAGTACATATTTTTCTCTGACTATAGCTTCATTAAGTTTTTAAAGATCTAGACAGGTGTGCTTTTTCTCGTTTTTCTTGATGACAGGGACCATTGGTTCATACCGTGAGGTGAGCTCAGTCATTTGCTTAAGTGTGCTCCTTTCTTTTATCCTTCCTAGCTCCATTTCTACATTGTGATATAGGTGAATAGATATTCTGTGGCTGTTTGTACGTAGTATTGTTTGGCCACAGATCTTAAAGCAGTGTCCACAATGTCTCATTTTCTTAGGCAGTTTCTGTCAAACAGTCCTATTTCTTCCACAACTTTTAGTAGCCCCATTCAGGCAGCTATTTCATGACTGAGGATTGTATGGCAGACAGAAACGACTCATCCGTGTAGCTTGTTAGTGTAGTAGAGCATCCAAAAGCATGTAGAATATTCCTTGGGCTGTATAAAACAATTGCTGCCTTTTGCACATCTGTGAGTGCTCTGGAATTTTGCATAGGCCTTCTCTGAAATAAGTATAAGATAAGCTCCTAGATGTATTTTGAAATTAAGAGCATTTTGACTGGTAGTTAATTTTATTTTCCAAGGAGGGTCAGTGTCCTTACACAACATAAGCTTTAAGAAAAAATACCTGTAGACCACTGTGGTGAGTTGTTGCACCACCTGAATACAATAGGTCTCTGGATTATGTCCTTCTCTAGGCCTATAACAATAGTAAAATGTCCTGTCTTCAAACACTTTCCGCACTATGCTCCTCTAGCTTGACTTTTATAATTGGTTTTTGTGAATTGCATAGAGAATTTTGATCAATGGGTTGTCTAGAAATGGCATTAAATCAATAAATATGGCTTTGTAAAGTGTTACATCCTCTTACAGTTGCATACTTTGAGAAAGCACTTGGTCTATCATTCCAAGCACCAATTTGTCTTTAGAATCTTCAAGCTCACTGTGTTCATCCTGTTAATTCATGATATTTATGGCCCTCCTCAGCAAAGGTAAAGGATTTAAAAACATTGTTAGCTCCCCACACCTGTACCATAAAGGAATGAGCACAATTCTTTTCTCTCTGGAGCTTTTTTGGTCAGGCAAAGGTAAACAAATTTGACTCTTTTCTTCAGGATTCTTTAAACTGGAATCTTCTGGTCCGGGGAAGTGTGCCTAGAGTTGGGTGAATCTCTCATCTTTTCAGTCCTAAGTTCAGTTCTCCACATTTTTATATGAAAATCAGCATTTTAGTGTGAATTTATTCTAATGCACACATTTTTCTTTGCAGTTTTGTTCATTATTCATTTTTGCAAAGCAATTTTCCCTAATATGCCTTTCTGTATCTCATGTTCACTAATATATGC